AGAGAGAGACTCGAATGTGAAAAGAAAACTTGATTTTGAAATATGTTAACCACAGCCTTTTGAATCTGCAATTTTTTTTTCCAATTCATTTGAATAAAAGAAATACAGGACAGTTTCCAAATTATTCCAACTATGTATAACTTTAATTTGTAATAAACATGTTGATCCTGATAAGCTAAATATAATGTTATGTAAATGGGGTATAAGCTAGGGAGTTTTTGGGTAACATTTACATGAAAAGATATCATCACAGAATCTGATGAGAACAATACTGGTTTGTTACATCGTTGGTTTTGTCGATTGATCTTATTCTCTGTTATAATGCGCAAAATTATTTGAGCTAACCTGAAGACTTGACCCATCAACAATTCAATGGGGTAAAGTCGCCACATTTGCAATTATCTTCTGTTTACTAATATCTATTCAGTCAGTTGTATGTGGCGGGAAAGGCTATAGCTTTCTAAGGGAGCTCTTAAAGAAACCAAACAACCACAAGGATTTGGAGCGGGATGACTAATCCCCTCCTAACAAACATACATGAATGTTAACTCTTAATTACACCACATGAGGAGGAGGTTAAAGTGCTTGAGGGAATATAAAACTGTCTCGTCAGCACAGTAACAGTGATAAGTGTTGGTCCAGATAAGGGTGACGGTCCAGGTCTTGAGAGCAGGATTTAATGTCCCTACTGTACACCTTAATAAATATGATCGCACAGCTGTAAAACAACAAACAATATGTCATTGTCTGCCACCAGGAGTCTCAAAACAATGATGTTAAGTGACGTAATGAAGTGTGGGATCATGAGATTTGTTGTCTTCGCCATCTTTGCCGTTCAGTTTCTCCTGCTTTCCTTTGATGTTATTTATTCAGGAGGTCCTCTCCAAAGTGGACCTGGTAAAAACACATTGAATAAAGAATTGTCACGTTAAAATGTGTGTTTCTCCAAATCAGTTTTTTCGGACAAAGGGTGCAGTGAGCTAAGTATATTCTTAAAAGAGACCAAGATCTTACAAGGTTATTGTAAAAGTACACAACAGTACAGAGTATATTCTAGACATTTTATTGAGAAAATGATACACAGACCTTTAACTAATGCTTACTTCATTGATGTATAGGACTATGAATACGATCCTTTAATCCATCATTTTACGAACTGCAGGTGGCTAACGTCCTTTAATCAGATGGATATAGTGGCATATGGAGGCTATCATGGGTGACGAGTCCGTCCATCCATCATTATCACCTCCCCTCTTCCAGAAAGATCCCCCACACTCTCTCCCCAAAGAGAGGGACCACTGAGACATTTCAGTTTAATTGAAGAGGAAACAGAGATCCCCGCTCACTTCCTGGTCACCCATTTTCTTTAATCAATTTCCTCCCTTTGGTCCTATATCATCTGTAATTACTTTCCCTTTCCCGCCCCTTGTGGGTCCCTCCTGGAGCAAAGGTCCACATAGACACACACATTCAAACACACACACACACTTATTGCTAACCCCCTACCGTCAGAAGGCAATACCTTCGGCATCAATACTCGTTGCCCCCCTTTGGCTCCTCCTGAACAATGGAGAAGGCCCACTGGCTCCAGAACCCCACCAAGCAACCCCTGACCCTGCCCACCTACTCGACTAAACCGGACCCCCTACACACACACACACAGAGGTTCACGTGGTATATACTTTTATATTAAGGTCGTAGACATTGTCGCAGCTCACACGACTCTGCAGTGAATGGGGGGGGAGGAGAAGTACAGAGGAGAGGGGGAAATGGGGGGAGTAAGGCCACTTTAAATACCAGCTCAGCTTGTAATCACTGGAGTTTGAACTCAGAAGACTTCTTATGCTAAGGGGTCAAGAAGCCAGAACACTCATTCGCTCCTTTCTTTCTTCCCTGCTGCCCTCTGTCACTCACTCCTCTCAAAGGCTCTCTCTGATCCATAAGCTGCTCGGGTTGTGCGTACAGTGAAACCAACGCTGATATCCGGAGGAAATCTTACAGCAAAAACAATGAAGGCATTGTCTTCAAAGCCGTTTTCAACAGAAGTACATTAGTAAGACAAATTAATCGTGGCACAAGCTCGACTTCCTCCTGCGCTAAAGTTACAAAAAGTGAAACATTTTCTGGAAGAACTGAGTTTTATTTGCCAAATAGCACTAAAGGGAATTCATTAAATGTAACTTACATGCCAAAGGGAATATGAAGACAATGCCTGTAAATATAACATCTAGTGTTAAACCTGCTGCGTACCTCAGGACATGTTGTGTACATCTGGTATGGACTGGTTTAAACTGCCCTCCAAATTATACACCTTTATTGGACTTCACATTTCCAAAATATGACCACCCAGAGAACGCAGCCCATACCACCCACACACTATTGAGTGGATTTATCAACAAGCTGATGCAAGTGTGCTTGATGAACAAAAGCGGCTTACAGTATTGGCATTGTTACCTTGTTTGATAGGGAAGGGAAACATGAGAAACCCCTGCATAAATAAGTATTAACCATGATAATAGAAGAGGGAAGGTGCTTCCTGTAGGTAATCATTATTATGTAAATGCAAAGTAAAGAGCCAAGTAAAAAGATTGGTGGAAATGTTTGTGTGTGCTAAAGAAAAGTACAACATGGCAAGTCAACAGTGATACAGATTTGAGGTAAACAGTTGTGTTAGCAAGAGGATACAGAGAGTGCTGAATCTTTGACTATTTATTTCTTAAATCTTAAACAGTAGTTATCTAGTCTTCAATCCGTCAGAAAATACAGAAATATTGGGAAAAGAATGCCTGACTATTACCATATTCTTTCACATTTGAAAAGCTTAAACAAACCATTTCAACTAATTTACTTTATGTTTTAATTTGAATGTATATGATTTGTTAAATTTAAATGGTCTAGAACAAGT